AGGATGTAAAAAAAAGCATAAAATATAAGCATTATCATCAAAATCAGCAAATCGTTTATTAAAAATAGCAATTGATTATTGACGAAAAGTATAATGATCATTTTTAGGAAGATTTTTTTATAGCTGCTTCTAAACAAGCTAAACCAATAAAATAATCTGCTAATGAACAATCTTGTGATTCAAGAGTAGATGTAGCTAATTTAACTGGATGAAGTATGAATGCTAAAGCACGTAAATCATCAAAAAATGTTCTCATGCGTAGTATTGATTGTACTGAAATATTTAAAACTTTCACATGATTATTAAGAATCTATAAAATAAGATAAATAAAATTAATTTTAAATTTAAAATTATTAAATATAATTAAATTATTTATTACTTACAGTTTCTAATGGTATTTTATGTCTTATAATAGAAAATACACAATTATACATTGTATGCCAATACATTTCTATCTATTGTTTAAGACCTCCACCTTTAATTAAATTTTCCTTAGCTAGTTTTTTAAGAGTATCACCTATAATATAATTTAAATTAAATAAAAGAATTTATTAAAATAATAAATAAAATTAAATAATAATAAATTATTATTTACATAATAACATTTTTTAAAATAAGTAATTAAAGTATTACAGCGTTTAAGTATTTTATCTGCAAATGGAGTATTACAAATATCTTTTGAAATTAGATTAATAGCATATGCTATATATCTAATATTTAAAATACTTGGATATTTTTAGTAATAATTTAATGCGCAGCTTGAATATTAGGATCAGCATCTGTTATAATAGCAGATATTTTATCTGATCCAACTTTTTCTAAAACTAAATCTATTTCTTCTGCCAATAGTTCTTTAGATAATGATCAGATGTATGTAAAACAAAATTCCAAATTGATTCATTAAAAGGATTACTTCATCTATCACAAGTTAAATAATTAATTAATTATAATTTTTAGAATTTAATTTAAAAATAAAAAAATAAAAAAAAAACTTACCTAATGTTAGATTCTCAGAATTTTTTAATTGTTTAATTAATTCCTGATTAATAAAAGCTGTTTTTTATGCTAAATGTCGTCCAAAAAAAATATTTTTTGATGGAGGTTCATATGCCGGACGTAAAGTTTTTAACAGTTTAATAAAGAATGGATTTTCAATAATGTAAAAAGGAATTTCACAAATAATAAATGCTTTTAATAATGTGCGGGTTATCTCTTTAGTACATTCAGGTGTAAGTTTAGTACTTTCAATATAATCAGAAAGTTTTGTTTGAGTTAGCTGAAATGGTTGGTAATCAAGTTTTCATTTTTTTGAAGAAGGCTCGCTAGTTTCACCTGCTTTTATTGCTAAACATTCTAAAAAAAAGTCCTGAATCTCTGCCGAAACTTTTACACACAAATTTCCTAAGTGGTCTTTAAGAGTTGCTAGTGAGCTTTTATACCAAAAGGCTCCACAAAAATTACATGTCGAGTTTCAATGACCTTTTGAAATTTGCTTTCCTTATTGAATATATGTTCCCCAAATTATTGATTTAGGTTTTTCACCAACTTTTCATTTAGGCAATGAAGTATCATCAGTTAAAGTACTTGAATTAGCCTCCATTTTGTAAGATGCGAATGCATTAATGTTTGTCTTACCAATAATGTTATATATTTGATTTTCACGTGAATAATTAAGTTTCAGAGAATTTCAATTAATTCAGATTGAATTTCAGATTTGGGCAGTATTAGACTCAATCAAACATTTCAGAAATTTTTTGTTAAGGCGTAGCTAATATCGCCTAGATTTCTCATTCAGATCAGGCGTAATTATTAGGTTTCGCCCGAACCTTTAATTACAAACTTCTACTGTGAAAAATAGAATGAAAAGAGCAAAATGGTTGTTGAATTTACAACAATATACATTTCAAGTTCAGCATCGATTTGGAAAAAAATAACGCAAACGCTAATGCATTATCAAGAATTAACTATGAAAATGATAAAAGCTCAGATGAAATAATCGAATGCTTCACACTTTCAATTGCTAGCGAAGAAAATTTTGCAGATACAGAAAGAGAAATCCAAGGGAATATTTCATCACTTGAATATGATGAATAGTGTTCTGCAACTCGATTTGATATTTGAATATTTGATTGATTTAATCAAATCCAAATCAATGTTTGATTCGATTCGATCAAATTTAAATCAATAGTAAAGCCATCTAGGAGTGATTCTTACTAAGAAAATAATAGTAAAAAGTGCCTCTGCGGCTTCGAAATGCCTTTTTTACTAAGAAAAACATATTAAAAAGCGCCTCCACGGCTTTGGAAATGCCTTTTACTAAGAAAAACATAGTATAAAACGCCTTCACGGCTTTCGGAAACGTTTTTTTACTAAGAAAACATAGTAAAAAAGCATTTCCGAAGCCGCGGAGGTGTTTTTTTACTATGTTTTACTTAGTAAAAAAGCATTTCTGAAGCCGCGGAGGCGTTTTTTACTATGTTTTTCTTAATAAAAATACACCTGTTATTAAGCTTACTTTGTAAAAGCTATTTTTAAAATTTTTTAGTGCAATTACTAATAATTTTCTTAATTAAAACTTTGGAATAACTTTATTTTAATATATCATTATAATAATTAAAAAATTTTATATTTGATTTGATTTGATTCGATCAAATTTGAATATGATTTGATTTAATTCGATCATATATTTGATTTGATTTGATTTGATTTGATTTGATTCGAAAAAATCAAATCAAATTCAAATTGCTTCAATATTTGATTCAATTTGATTTTGAGGAACCCTAATGATGAAGACTTAAAGAAAATAACCGATAGATCCAAATACATTTTTCTGCATTAGATGTTTCTGGATGTCAAACAAAATGGCAATAAAATGGATTGCATAATAACAGAAAGTATCGTAAAAATAGTTATGATTGTAATGAAAATGATCATCATTCTTATTGGTATTGTACTGAATGCTATCAATGTGCCAATTCATATGCAAACTACATATTTACACCAACAGAACAAATTATTTACCATTGTAATGAATATGAATATTACAAATATCTAAATATGATAGCTAATAAAGAGGAAGCAGAAAATGAACAATCAACTGAACAAGTAGAAGATAATAGTGAATCAGAATTTAACCCAACAAAGAAGAAATGGAATCCATTTTCGATGGAAAAGGACAAGATTGGAAAAGGACTTAAATGATATTTTCTTAAAAGCTGCTGAATTTAAGCAAACTACTATTAAGCGAATGAATGGTAACAAAATTGAGGAATTTGCTCAAGAGTATTCTGTTAATTGTATCCTTTACAGAATGATTATTACCACTGACTTAGTCCATGAATGTATTATGGGTTATAATCTTAGACAAATACATCCTGAAATAGTACCTAAAACTCTAATTAATGAAGTATTTTGGGATATACTTAAAGAAGTACAATGAAATGATGAAGCATGTCTTGCAGCAGTTGAATTGTTGAAACTAATTAAGAATCCTCAAACACATGATTGGAATAAGAATGAATTAGATGAAATGTTTGGACCATTTGCACCTATTATTACCCTATTTACTCATCCAACTTTAATGAAACTCGTAGCAGAGATAGCACCCCAGATTATTAGTTTTATTGTTTTATTTTAACATTTATTTAGTTTTAAACCAGTCAATTTCAATATTATTTATATTTTATTTTATTTTAAAGAGTTAACACCTATTTGAATAGCAATTAGTGAATGAAAATCTCAACGTTTGAAAAATTTAACTAAGTGAAAGCAAAAGTATCAACAATGTGATTAACAGCTTAAGTTAAACAAAATGGAAGAAAATCAATATAACCAGTTGAAAGAATATTTAACTATTTCAGTATTACCGAGTGATAAAAAATTAGCAAATCAGATTCAATAACAATCAAAACATTTTGAGATTTTAGAAAATCAATTATTTAAAAAAAACAAGAAAAACAAAGAAAACTTTCTTAAACTTCTAAAAATTTATGAAATAAAACCAGTTCTTTATGCAACACACAATCACCTAACTAGAGGACACTTAGGAATTGAAAAGGTCTTTGAAAAAATTAGAGAAAACTATTATTGGCCGCAAATGTTCGAAGACATTAGGAATTATATTAAAGGATATAACTCTTGTCAAAGAAGAGGGAAGACCTCAAAGAAAACGTTATTACATCCTATACCAGTTGGAAAACCTTTTGAGAAAATCGGAATAGATTTCGTATGACGTTTACTACTTACGAATAATGGAAACAAATACATAATTGTAGTAACCGATTATTTAACCAAATGGCCTGAAGCAAGTGCAAAACCTGCAGCTGATGCAAACACAGTTGTAGAATTTATTTATGAAAATATAATATGTCGACATAGATGTCCAAAATATATACTTT